TTTTAGGATTTGGTATATATATATTTCTTCTTCCTTTTTCTTTTTATTTATTTATTTTTGGTGTGTTTTTTAGTTTAGATTTTTTGCTTTCTAGTTTAGTTTTATTGCTTTCCTTATATGAAAAACACAAAAAAATTAAAAAAATCAAATAAAATTAAAAAAATACATTCCAATGAATTGTAAATCATGCTTCCCTGTGCCCCATACTTGAGAAAAATTGTTTTGATTCTTGGTTTTTGATGATGAGCATTGTGGATTTGTTGATCATGATTTGAAGTTTAATTGCTTGGATTCCTAAACATGCGTCAATTTTGCCCAACTACTTGTGAATATAGTGCTTGACTAGTTGATTTAGTTAGGAATGTGTGATTAGTTCCTGGTATGTCAATGAATTTGAGTATTGGTTTGCAACTATGAGTAGTGTTTCATGACTCAATATTATGCACATGTGGAGGACGAAGGCATTTGTTCTCTTAGGTAGCCTTCAGATGATTTTAGATACATTTGTTCCCTTCTTGCTACCCATGTTGTTGCTTGTGCCTTTTTTTTTTGTTTATTAACCACATTACAAGTCATATTTGCCCCATTGGTTACTAGTCCCAAGCTTGGCTTGGGGGAGCTAATAGTGAGTGAGGTGAGGGAGTTTGTAGTGTGCACATTATTTGCACAATTTGGGTGGGTTTTGAGAAGTAATTTGTTCTTGATCATATTTTTGTTTTGATGAGTTTAAGAGTGTATATATTCTTGAAAAATAAAGTATGATGGTTTGATATGAAAAAAAAGTGAAAAAAAAAGAGAAAAAATTTTTGAAAAAAAAAGAGCAAAAGAAAAAAATTGTTTGATGTTCAAATGTTCTAAGTGAAGGTTGATCAAAAGAAAAGAAGTTTGAGTTTCAATGTAAATATTTGAAGTTTGAGTTCAAAGTTTGTTTAGTCACTCTAGTTCATTATTATCATATTTTTGGGAGTGGATTTTGTAAGTATTGGGTTTGAATTTTATGAATGGAGTATATTTGGTGGATTCTTGTTGGAGTTGTTTATGATGGAGATGTATGATCATTATTTATATTTGATCATGGGTTTATTAGGATATGGCTCCCTTATAGCATAGCTTTTCTCTCACATATTTCCCCAAATTTATCCTACCCTTTACCCTAGCCTTACATTACAAGCTTTAAAGACCTTCCGACCTTGTGCATAGAGTTGTGTAGATGTGAAAGTGTTTCTTATCAATGCAAGTTATGACTTGACATATTCCGAGTCGACTATTAGGTTGAGTGTATGTATTTTTAAACACACGACTGTTGTGAGTTTGGGAGGGCATTGTTCACATAAAGGGGTTGGGATGGAGAGCGATCGAGTACATCTTTTACTCACCACATAAATGAGAGTTGAGTGTGTGAGCACTAGTCTTGAATTCTATATGCTCTTGTGGTTTGCTCTATTTGACAATTGTTGGGGAGGAAGGGTGATTAGATGAATAAGATTGATTGATGTTGAAGCATGTTCATTTGATTTGCCTTGAATCGTTTGTGCTTGATATTCATATTGGGATGAGGCATGTTTTATATGTTCATTGATGAGCTCTTTGCTTAGGGACAATCAAAGGTTTTGCTTGGGGGAGTTTGATATGTTCATTTTATATAGAGATTTACCCCCGTCCCTTGGTCGTAATTAGTAGTGTTTTTGGCTCTTTCGAGCCACTTTTATTACTAATTGGTGTTTTCCAGTGTTTTCGTAGTTTTGTTTGAGTTTTGTAGGAAATTGCACATTTGGAGCATTTTCCCGGATTTTCGAGGAGCGACTACGAGCATTGGAAGACCGTGACCACTTATTGAAGCCCAAGACCGATTAGAAGAAGCAAATCGGTGATTAAGGGCTCGATACTTGAGACTCCGAGGCATTTTGGACCGAGTATACTCAAGACTCGAAGAGGAAATCTGATTGGGCCGGAGGATTTAGGCCTAATCGACATCCAACTTAGCCTAAGAGCCTCGCCCGGGCCATCAAGGGCCGCCCGAAGGCGCGCCCGGCCGGGCGGGGCGAAGCGAGATCCCAACAGCAGACGCGCCCGGAGCACGCGCCCGGCCGGGCGCGAGAAAGGGAGGCATTGAAGAACGGCGGGCCCGGTCGGGCGGCCTCTTGCCCGACCGGGCGCGATTGTTAGGAGAGCTTTGTTCTCCGATTTAGCTTTTTGTTCAGTTTAGGATTCTTGCTTAGTATTAATGTATTTTTATTAGGCAAGTTTAGACACTTCTCTACACTCTATTATTATTTTCTTCTCTCTCTACTTAGACTTTCTCTCTCTAGACTTTTATTTTCTCTTGTTCCTAAACTCCATTGTAATTCCGTCGATTCGGTACGATTTCTCTTTTATTAATCTCAGTATTTTATTCCTTCAATTCCTTATGCCTTGTTTAATTACTTTGATTTGTTTAACTTTGATCATGTCTGAGTAGTTCTTTTTCTAGGGTTTATGGGGATCTAATAAATAATATGAAGGGGTAATTTATGATTATTAATTATTAATGCTTAATTGATTTCCTATTGATTGTTTAAATGCTATGCAATTAGATTTGGCCAGGTTTAATTGTATGAGTTTAGCAATATTGATTCGAGATTCGAGAGATGAGAATTGATGTTTAGGCTTAGTTTCAGCAATAGGCAGATTAATTTATAAATGGTTAGGTCGAGATTCGAGAGATGAGATTTAATACCGGTAAATTAACTCTGTGATTGTAATACGTAGCGAAAGCCCTTTATGATCTGATTAATTAATGCATTGATGATTGATTATTATGTTTTACCCTGGAATATTGTTTATTAGTGAACCTATGCCCTAGGCTTTGTTATTATTGATTTCTTCCTTATATATTCTTCTTACTCATATTCTTCGTAGTATAGATTTTAAATCACAAAAATATTGGTTACTATTGATAATTTAGATTATAATAATTAATTAGGAGTAGAAAGACTTGTTTCCCTGTGGATTCGACCCTACTTCCCTATCTGCATAAGCTAGATGACTTAGGTAATTATTTTTTATTAGGTGATACGACTTTAGCCTGTCACCCAAAACCACTTTAAACGAATTGCATAATTTAGGGTTTCGTCTTGGGTGGTTTTGGGGTGGTGGTTTAGGGTTAGGGAAGGCTGAAAACATGAGGGGAAGGGGAGGGCTATCGATTTCATGAGAGGAAACGGGGCTAGGGGCGGATTCCGGTGAGGGAAGGGGAAAGGGGGGTGGATTTGGTTCGGGGTGGGGGTCGTGGCAGCGAAACGTCGGGGAAAAGGTAGGGAGCTGCTAAGGGTGGGGGAAAGGGAGGGGGGTGGGTTCGCGCCGGCGCCGGCAAGGGGGGAGGGATGGGGTGGCAGTTGAGGGGAGGGGTGGCTAGTTTTTTTTTTTTTTTTTTTTTTTTTTTTTAGTTTTTAGTTTTTTTAAAAAAATTTATTATCATTTTAAAAAAAATAAAATAAATAACCTTAACGGAATCGGTTAGGATTCCGTTAAGGTTAACTTAAAAAAAAGTGTATATGTTAGGTAGTAAAATAAAATAATAGTTTTGATAGGTAGCAAAATTGAAATTGAGGTGTTTGATAGGTAGCAAAAGTAAAAAAATCCTATTATAAAAGGTTACTTGGGACATTGCCTAAGATACACATTAATTTTTGATTTAATTCTTATTAATGATCATCAAATACAAGTGAAAATAATTTTGTATATGGTATTTTCATATTTATATAATATTAATATGTAAATGAAGTATTTAGTACATTAAAACAACTTTTTTTTTTAAGAAAACCTCTGTTTTTATTTAATTTACAAAAAAAAAAAAAAAAAAGGTTGCCAACAGATTATTTTGTTTTTATTTAATTGATACATTTTTTAGTAACTTTTGTATACATCCAGTGTACATTAATTTATTGTGTATTGGAGGTCACTTTTATCAAAATTAGGGTCACTTTTACAATTTTTTGGGTAACTTTTAACAATAAAGCATCAATATTTGGTAACTTCTATTTATGTCGGGTCAACTATTATTCATATTTGGGTAACTTTTGCTAGGGTGTGTCCTATTCACCTGATTTTCACTGATATGAAATATCTGAATTTATTACAACTTTTTTTAGTTGTAATTTGTACTTGGATAACCCTTATCAAAACTTATCAAACCTGAACTAATCTGAACTTATCTAAACTTATTACCCCTGAAATTAGTGAAAATAGGGTGAACAGAACATACCCTAACTTCATAATGGATATACTGTATTTAATTGTACATCCAAGTTGTTTAAAGGTTTATATACATTTTTTTTTATCAGCTTGCCAACGGATTATTTTGTAAGTTTATCTATACAAGGTGGTATGTAGTTAGGACATGTTCATATTTACTTAATTAATTGCAGTTCAGTTCAGTTCAGCTCCAATTAGTTTAATTCAGTTCAACTCCAATTAGTTCAATTCAGTTCAGTTCAATTCAGCTCAGTAAATGTGAATAGGCCCTTAGTTTATTAATTTTTTTTAAAAAAAAATCAGAAGGGTATTTTGGGAAAGTGAAATTTATCGTCCAAAATCTCTTTTCACTTTATATATAGTACAAGCTAAGAGATGGACATAAATTCGCGTGTGTGAATCCATCAAGTTTAATTCTCTATTTTTATTTTTTTTTTCAAAGAAAGACATAATTGAAAGGGGTATTTTGGGAAAGTGAAATTTATCACCCAAAAAGCCAGAACCCCTTTCACTTTATATATAGTATAAAATAAAATAAAGAAAGTCAAAATTAAAAGGGGTATTTGAGAAAGTGAAATTTATCACTTAAAAGGCCAAAACCCCCTTTCACTTTATAATTTTATATAGGAAAAATTAGAAATAATAATCCCAACTTTCATCAATTTTGGTAGAATAATTTCAACTTTGAACTATACTACAATAATCCGAACTTTGGGGGGTTTTCATTTTTTTCAATCCCAAATACCGGTTACCGGTTGAGTGGGTTACTTTTTATTTTTTTTTGTTAAAGTGACACGTGTCACAAATTAATTGGTTAAAAAAATATTAAAAAAAAAAACCACCATCAATCACCCAACCCTCCAACCTTGCTCACCGGAGCCCCCAACCCCACCCACTGCCCTCTCCCTCTTTCACCGGAAAAACCACTGCACGGCTCAGACCGAAACCCAACCCTCCCCCACCCCCGCCAACCACCACAGCCTCGCCAAACACCACAACCACCCCAGCAACCCCAGCCGCGGCCAACACAACCGCAAACACCAACCTCGAAACAATCACTCAATTCCCCAGCCATGAACGTTTAACGGTCACGAAACTCAGTTGAAACCCCTCCCCTAATCCCGAAAACACCTATCCACCCCTAAATTTGCAATTTGGGGTTTTGATGGCAGCGATTTTGGGGTTTTGGTGGCTGCGTTTTGGGGTTTTGGTGGCTTCGAACTTTGGATATAATTCAAAGTTGGGATTATTTTATAAAAATTGATAAAAGTTGGGATTATTATTTCTAATTTTTCCTTTTATATATAGGATAGGATTTTAAAAGGTTGGAAAATAAAAAGATCAACATGATCCTACAAAAATAGATCAACACGTAGTTCCTCTTTGTAAAAGAAATAAAATAAAATCAAATTGAATTTCGTCGGTCCAACCAATTGAAGCGCACTTGACGTTCTCCATTGAAGCAGCTTCTGAGGTAAGTTAAAGTTTCTTTTTCTAATCTTATCAATTTCACAATCTAGGGTTTATCTTTGATTTAATTTAATTGTTTAAGGTTCGAATATCTGAATGGTTCAAATTAGTAAGATTATGAAAGATCATAACTAGCGATTATGTTGTTAGAAAACAAAATTATGACCCGAATTTGATAATTGTATCAAATATGCCTTAAATTATGTGATTTTCCGAGCGTAATTTGATAATTGAATCAAACATGCCTAAATTTATGTGTTTTTTCGAGCCTAATTTGATAATTTATCCTGAAATTATGTGATTTTTGGAGTTTAATTTGATAAACCTAAAATTATGTGATATTTTTAGCGTAATTTGATAATTGAATCAAACGTGCCTTAAATTATGTGAATTTTTTCAAGCCATATTAGATAACTGAATCAAGCATGCGTAAATAAATGTGACTTTTCGAGCCTTTAATTTGATGATTGAATCATATATGGTTGCTAATGTATTGCAGAACCCCTTTAATGTTAGGATTGAATTATCCAACAATGGTATAAGAATGAAATTGTATTGATTTAGTTGATTAACAATATAAGTATCAAATCTCCAATTATAACTTGATTGTAGCCTGCAATGTATTGCTTGATCATATCTTTTTATACCTACTATAAGCAATTTAATTGCCTCTAGTTAAAAATTTTAGACTTCTTGCCGAATTTTGGCCATTTATATTCTAATAGTCATGTATTATTTTCTAAAATTGACATCAAAATAACGATAATGTATTACAGCCTTTTTCAGTGTGTCTGTTGTTGAACAGAAGGAATCTCAGGGTTATGCAAGTTATAAATATGGCTGCATCATACCAAGTGTTAATGTCTGGGGAAAAAAAGGTCAACAACAACAACAATACCAACGTTGACAACAGCAATAGTTATAGCAGCGTTGATAACAACAATGGCAGCGTTGATAACAACAATAGCAGCGTTGATAACAACGATGGCTGCCGGGCATGTGTTGGTTTGATTGTCTCGTTGCTCTTGATTGTTGCTTTAGTTTGTTTTATTCGTATTGATGATAAGATAAATGGCGACAGCAACTTCAAGCTAGAGTTCCAGATCAATTCTGTTGAGGTGACTTCCATGAAAGTATATAATGTCAGTAATGATTACTATTCTGTCATTGTTGGCGACAAGAAACAACACTTAATGGCAGATTTGGAGTTTAATCTGACATTGAATAACAAGGTAGAAGGATTGATGTATTTTAACCCTATGGAAGTGTCATTAGAGTATCACCATGATGAGTTTCTATCGTCGACTATGCTTGAACCTTATCTTCTTGTGGAGGATCAACACCAACTGCAATTTGGAATGCAGATCAAGGATGATGATGCACGCCTTCAGAACAGGACTGTGGATTCAATCTCTCGGGATTTGGCGGACCAGAATGTTGTCCAGTTTGCTCTCAAAGGGAAAGGTCGTTGTGTAAGTTGGCGTAGAGGTGCTTTTGTGAATTGTGGTATCAATCTCTTGTGTGATGACATAAAGGTTAGGATTTTAACTGCAACTTCAACTAATTTGACGACTGGGAGTATGATTGACAGCCCACTTCTTTGCAAATTTAACTCTGATTGTCATGATTTCTAGAAATATTCAATTCTACGAGTCTATGACTAATTGTCTAGATACAAGATTTGTAAATGTAATGGTATGATCTATCTATCTGTACGATTTTGGCTATTTGAGGTGAACTTTCATGTCTTTAGATTCAGTATTTTGATGTTGTCCAATGGTTTTATTACGTGCAGTTTAAAGAAGTCAATGTTTCTAATAAGTTAAGCCAAAGTCGAACTGCAATATAAGAAGTTGAATTTAACATGCAAAACTAATTAACCAATTGACGCTCATCAACAAAATGCCATAGACCAGGCGCATTCCCTTCGGCTATTTTGCTTTAGCTTGAGCATCATCTATGAGTCTATGACTAGTAGTATTAAGTTTGGTTTAGTGATAGTCTTAACATTTGAACCCCTGACAACTAGGGAGGAGATGGTAGCGGGCTAGCGGCAACCATACTTTGACATTATCGACCCGCAATTTGCATTGGCCTAACCTTCTTTTGGCCTTTAAAAATGACCTCCTTGACCCGACTGCTATCGAACCCCACCAATCCTGACCCGACTTGCCCAATAATTAAGCCTATGTTTCACAATTCTCCTACGACGTCCTCTACCATTTTTGTTACTTTCCTTGAGAAATTTACTTTGGTATTGTGGTTCTTCAAAAGATGATTTTGCAACAGTAAGACTTGTTATTCAAGACTCCTTTGGTTCTGTCAAAAAAAAAAAGACTCCTTTGGCGGTCTTTGAAATAGATTATTTATCGCTCTTTAACAAGATTTATACACTACAACGTTCAACCTCATATTAGTATATGAACCCAAAACCTATTCCATTAAATTCGACAAGCTGCAAGAATCCGAATATATTCTCATATAATAATTTTTTTTTTAACACAAATGGAAGCATGCATTTACTTGTGCAAAGCCCTTAAAACTATTACATCCTAACATTCAAATGGTTATTAATATAAAATGGACTATGACATAAGTATGAAAGTAATATAAGTCAGTCATGGTTATTAATACAAACTAGTTAGGCTTCTAGCCCCTTTGATGCACAAGCTATTACTTATAGGTTAATTTTCTTAAGGTGTGTTGTTTGTTAGTGTTATGCATAGGGATTTATGTGAAAATTCAAAGGTCACCGTAAAAGATAAAAACATGCTTAGCCATTATCATAATTCAAAGTTGTATGAGTTATATATGATACGAAATGTTCCTGCAACATAACTTAGGAGGACTCACAAATCTAGTGCAAGTGCTTCATATGCTGCTCGAAAACATCATTTCGAGGCCTGCTATTTGTCTAAGCTCAGAAGTCAGAACAATAGGATTTCTTACACTGTCAAGGTTACTTTTTTTTACCCCTAAATATAGTGTATGTTCCCCAAATCATATTAGGACTAAGACTTTGTTGTTATTGTAACTATAATGACCCCCCGTATGTAGCTAGCCAATCATTACAAAAACCTCATTAACTTATTCTCCAATCATTACGAATAAAGACATAGTGGTCCCCCCATATAACACTAACCCGGTAACCCTTGTAATATTGACCAAGTAACCCCTAGGCAACTCCTATAACACTGACGAAGTAACCCCTATAAAATTAAACAAGAAACCCTTATAACACTAACGAAGTAACCCTCATAATGGATGCCACATATAAGACTTTGTGTACAAAAAGACGAATCTGTTATTCTTAATAAAGAAAAATCAAATGAACCAGTTATTCCATTCCCTCTTGACACTTAACACAGAACTAAACATAGAATATGCCATTAACCTAACAACACATGATATACTCACAAAGTATCCTTCACATAACTCCATATGTAGAAAATAAGGCAAAACTCCAAGTGAGATTCAAGTAAGGATATCAACAATATATACAATACAAGAATACCTATATAAACAAATCGCTTATAGTCGATCTTCACCCAACTAAGCTTATGAAAGTGAAATAACAAATTCACTGCAAGATGGTAATCAATATGACTAATCGGCTTTCACCAGAACTAAAGATTTTTGTACACTTAAAAGTGGAATGTCTTTGCACATATAATGCTCCTAGCTTAATAGAACACAGATCCTAACCAAAAACAGATATCTCCTTAAAAACATTAAACCTAAAAATTCTTCACCCATTTAATTTATAAACAACATCAATTTAGAGGGTGGAGGACAGCCACACGGCGATAATATGCACCAAAAGGTCCTGTAATTCAAATTTTATTAAGAAGGCAAAATGTTGGGGAATATCAAACAATATAAGATGACAAATTACTCCACTAAATATAAATCATGAATACATTGAACTTAAAATGAACACTATTCAACCATTTTTAATCACAAGAAAATAACCATTAAACACAAACACATGACAATGCTAATAAAATTCAAACTAATATAGTTCCAATAAAATATACCTCTTCAGACTTCAGTAATCACTTCCTCTTAATAGAGTTATGAGAAAGAGAATGTTGGAATGCTTAATAAGCAGAATTCAGTCATTCCTTTACAAGCAACACAATGAGTATGCATCAATAGCCAACTCACTACCAAATTATCAACAATGGCAACATCCGACGTGGGTTATATACTTGTATGACTACATGGATTGCAATCCGGCACCCGATCCAGTCTGGCCACAATGTCAACCATATCACCATCACCCATGCTTTCTGTTTCACCACCTAAACCACAGCAAGGTGTACGTGTACCCTTTCTCCAATAAGCGATGAGTCAAGGACATTGATACGATGAAATCCCATATTTTAAGCAAACCCAGCCTAATGAATTAGGTCTTCAGAAATTACTGCAAGAAAGCAGCATTGCATGGATTTAAATGAGTTGACCAGCATAAAGAGACGGGTCAAGAATTTGCAGTCACAACCATAATGGCCCAGACTGACAGAAGATATGAACGAACATTCCCATAATCAACAATTAGCCCCTCAACGCTGTCAAGAAATCACTTCAATTGTCATCTTTGTTTAGTCCAGGGCAGTTGGAGAGCTTCCATGGAGTCATACTGAAATCAAGGTAGGTAAATTTCAGGGGTTAGCTATCAAATGATGCAACTTACAGTTTGCCTTTTAACTGTACTAGTTTTGGTGCTCACGCGCGTTGCGCGCGCATCATTTTGTTAATCTAAATTAGGAATTTATTAGTGAATAGATAAATAAATCTATTTGGTAAAGGTTTTGTTATTTTGTTCATGAATTTGTAGTTGTAAGGAATATAAATTATAGGAATGAGTGCGTAAGATATAATTATTTCATATCGAAATATATTAATCTTAGCAATTATTTATATCACAAACAATTGATAAGCATTGACACTTATGTTGATATGGAGTATAGAAAATTAGAAAAGTTAATATCATTGCTTGGATTGGATCATATGTTTGAGCTTTGTCTTGGTCTGTGTTAATTATTTCTCAGCCAGGGGTTACTCGAGTTGCTGGGGTTGCTCAAGTTACTTGGTCAGGGTTTACTTGAGAAGTAACTTAGGTAACCCCTGGCTGAGTAACCCCTCGAGTAATCCATGACTGAACCCCTCGAGTAACCCCTAACCGAGTAACCCCTCCCTCTCAAGTAACCTCTGATTGAATAACCCCTCAAGTAACCCCTTGACCGAACTCCTTAAATAACCCCTGACCGAGTAGCTCGAGTAACCCATGACCGAGTAACCTCTCGGGTAACTTTTGACTAAGAACCCCTAACCGAGTAATATCTCAAGTAACTCTTGACTAAGTGAACCCCTTGAGTAACCCTTTATCGAGTAACCCCTGCTCGAGAATTACAGCTAAAAAGGACAAAAAAAGAATCAAAATATAAGTAAATCAGGAACTAAATTCATTAAAACAAGAGGTGATCAAAATAAAAGCAACATAAGGAATTATTTAATTTGAGAAAAAAACAAAGAGGTGATCAAAAAATTATTGTGCAAGGCTTTATTGTGTGATCACACCCAACATAAGGAATTATTGTGCAAGGTTTTCTAGTCTTTAGCAGCCAAAAAAAATCAAGGCATACGATTATTCTCATATCATAGCCCTCCCTACCATAGTACATAAATCAATTTTCTGAGTTTCGTTCAATTCAAAGCACAAAGAAACCCATTCCGCACAAAGTAACCCACTAAAGAATTCTCAAAATAAACTAAGGAAAAAAATCCCAAAAAAAAAGCATTAAAACAAACCCACCAAAGAAATTTACACTACAAAGAATTAAACCACCATATAAACTCATTACAAAAAATGAAAGTAGAATCAAGAGTAGCCCTGGCATATACAAATAGGATGTTCCCAAATTGAAATTAAGTACCCCTTCTTCAGTCTTCTTATAGTCGAGAACTTCATCGGCCCTTAAGCCTTTGACAAATTCTAAGTTACAAGCTTCACACATAGCTGTAACAAGTGTATTTCCAAGCCTGGCCAGAGCATAAATACACAGCTTACTACAGAGTATCTACTTAAGTAATCAAGTCTACAAATGAGCACTAAACAAACATACCCATTTTTTTAAATCAGAACCCCAAAGCCTCTTGTCAGTTACATATACCGAAATACTCCTTAATCCTTATGTCCCTATATGGATATGGTTATATGCATGCTTTCTTTGATGTTCATACAAGAATTTTCTACTTTCTTGATAGCCATATAGTCTCATACCTCCATTAATCTCTCATTAACAATAATATGGTCCCAATATTTTACCTTCTAATCGACTCCACTCAACTAAATACAGAAAATCCTATAAAATGTACTTGGAACATACATTTAGGAAATAAGAGAGTATTAACTACTCCCTCCGTTCCTAAATGTTTTTTACGTTTCCATTTAGGGTGTTCCTTTTTATTCTTTACATTTAATATCTTTCCTATTTTGGTCATAAATTTTAGACAAAATTACCCTTGTTTTACAATTTTTATACTCAAAAGTTCTTACTTTTCCATGTGTTATGGTACTTTTTGCACTATTGTAATAGTTTTTCAACACTTATTATTACTTTCTCTCTCCTCTCTCCTCTAATTTCTTCACCCCACATGTTCAACATTGTATTTTTCAATAAAATTGTACTTTCAATCATGGAAATATTCCAACATATCTCAACTTTACAAAATTTCTTAATAATCGCGCATAATTCCAAACGTAAAAAACATTAGGAAACGGAGAGAGTATTAAGGAAGGAATTGAAACTCTTCGGAAGCAATCAACAAATTTCAAAGTTCATGTCAATGTGAGATGTGATTCTTGTTTGTACACTTATGGCCAAGTTCTTTAAAATGGGGAGGTTACATATGGGCAGCCAAGTTTATTCCATAATGAAATACAAGTTCGGACAAGGGGCTTTTGATAAAAAGAATGAAGCCTGCATATCATGTGTCTAAGAATACTGACAGAGACTTGGAGCACTTCACATTCGACCAAATATCCAAAAAAGAAAGGTTTCTAAAGAGAAATCTGACAACTTAAACACTTTTTATGATAACATAAATAACTCCTAAACTGAAGAGGAATAATGTGCAACACAAATAAATGGGTTAGTTTCAATCCCCTCCGCAATGGTTGGCGGAATAGCAGGCAAGTCAGCATTTCAGTGGTTCAGAGCCCATGCCAATTTCTCCACTATCTTTGCATTTTCGAGTTCAACTGTCAAAGCAAACTGAAAGTTCTTCACTGTATACTGCAATTAGAAAAGAAAAAGTGAGCAAAAATAACAATTACTTATCACAGAGAAAATCATCAGCAGTTTTAGTTCCAATTCCATTGCTTAACACAATGATAATAGTTCGATATCATGAGCTAAATATTTTTTGCTCCGCTACTTGTCTAGCAATTGCTATCTAATCAAAGAATATTACTTCATGAACACATTATACCTGTTAAAACCTAAAAAAAAAAAACACGAACCCTTTTTTTTTTTTTTTTTTTTTTTTTTACTATTTCATCTCTCTCCTTGTTTCTTTCTTTTTTTTAATAAAAAAAAAAAACTTTTCTTCCAATCAAATCAAAATAAAATTAACTTTTTTTTTTTAATTAGAGGAACTTCTTGATATTGGCATATACACTGCAGCTGTCTTACAATCCACCACATCAATTCAAGAACTCAAACCAATAGTTCCAGACAATAGCAAATAAAGCACATACCGCTCTCAAGATAATTCCCTGAATGGATCACCATTCTAATCGCTCTTAACTCCACCATTCTCTTTAATTTGGTTATACATTAACACACTCCTTTTCAATGTTCAATTATTAAGGTTATATGACAACACACTCCTTTACAGCTGATGACTGTGAAGCCTGCTGCTAGTAATGTGTAGTCTCTCACATTTATATCTTATTGTTGACTTAGTTTATGACTACAAAACACAGCCTAAATATAGGATGAGAAAATCAGCAAAAAGTAACATGAGACTGCATACACTACACATAGTTGAATTGTAAATTTCGGTAATTTTTGCTAGCACTAATCAAAAGAAAGCAATGGGAAGAGAGGTCTATATAGAGATCAAAGGCATCAGTCACAGACTCTTACTATCACAGATTCACATGGATTAGAGTGAGAAGTTTAGGTGACACATACAACATAAGCAATTGAGACAATGTCAAATGACTTGGCCAGCAAACCTGTATCTTCACCATTTGCGTGAACCCACTTTATGCATTTTCCACTTGATGATCCATTTTTCTCTTTGATTGAGCAACAAAAAAAAATAAGGTGACAAGTCCAACCCCTGCAACAGTCAATTGTCAATTATCTTACTACTATAAAAAGCTTGATGAAAAAACATTTTACATGATCAACATTTCATAAGAACAAAATCTTACAGTAACATTAGCAGAAGGAAATTTGTTAGCCAGAAATCTTGTGCTCCAACCTACAAAACATCCTAAGTCTAAGATGTCCGCAACTACAGAATTACCAGAGCATTCTAGATGATGTTGCTCAATTACTCGAAGCCAATTCCCACGTACTATTTCAATTGTTTCATCCAGGGAAGCAGCATCAAGTATAGCTCTTCTAGTAATTGACATGGTGGCAGGCTCTGCTTCTGCTGCGGCCTACATTCACAAATGCAATCAGTAACAAATTGCACTCTTGGACCATTTCACATTTGGACAAAGATTTTATATAAGTTTGGATGCTTAAAAGGTTAGAAAGTTTGAATAATCCATTATCCCAGGGATAACATTTGTTCCGATGAAAAGTTCCCTAATAAGTTTTCGGCAGTTTTGTATCCTAGAAGCAAAGAACATCGGTTTGCAAGCTTGTGCCATTGAAATTAATGTCTCCCATGTTGTGCAGCTTGCGCCTCACTGCCTATATTTGATTTCTTAAGATGGTTGACGTATCTAGTCTATTTCCATGATATCTAGTGCAATTGAAATTTCTTGGCTAAACCGATAATAATCATTATAAGGCTTGTTTGAATGCAACCCACAAGTAAGCCAATGCTTATCAGTGATCTTAGTGCGGTTAATAGTAGGCTTTCACACATCTAACCCTTTTATAATCATGGCCAACACATTCTCCACAACAAATAAAGCATCATAATAAATATAGTAGAAATCTAATATATGACTACAAAAATACCAATAAGAATCAGCAAATTACCAGCCATGAAAGGTTTCCTTCATCATAAGCATGGAAAGGATTTAGATAATCTGCAATGACAACACAATGGTCCAACATTATCATCCTAAATTTTTCAAAAGCCGAAGAAATCAATATTTTTTCCTAACTAAATCACTCAACCATTAAAGGATTACAACATTACGATTTCTATCTTGCTTACCAAGTTTCTAATACTACAACAACAAAGCATATAAGCCCATTGTTTAAGCCAATTCTAAACTTAATTCGGATACAAAACAACCACATTGTATAAGCCTTGCAATTTTATTTTTTATTTTTTTTGAACAGCTTATAAGCCTTGCAATTAGATAAAAGAGAAAAATCCATAAAAAAAAAAAAGCCAAATTGGGCAACATTAAAAAAAAATCCAAAGCTGCATTCTTCAAATCCATATTTATTAAAAACAACCTCAAATGAACCCATTTGCTCATCAACACTTAAAATGCCAAAACAATTTACACTTATTGAAAAATTGGGCGTCTAAAAATGAACATCTAAGTTAAAATAAAACAGATCCAACAAAAACAGACAGAACTAATGACATTGAAAGAATAAACTAAGCTAAAAAGCAAATCATAGGTAGAAAAATTGAGGCAATACCATTTTGGTGTCATATTCCGGATTCAACCAAACTCCATCTATTTGCTCGCATGCCTATTCCGAATTTCATCACATGAATTAGGCCGAACTGCTCCTGATAAGCAACAAACCAAAAGCAAAACTCATCAGAAACCCTAAATCAATAAAAATTTAGAAACAAAACTAATCAATTAGGTAATCTATAAAAATAATCAGAAATCCTAGATCAAACTGAAAATAAAACACCCAAACCCTAACTATATTATAGAACAAAAAAAAAACACCAGAAAAACCAAAAGAATTTTAAAGCCCTATACCAAAAAAAAAAAAAAAAAATCCAAATCATAGAAAAAAGGGAGGAGAATTAAAACCCTCTTGCTTCCATTAAAGAAGTCCCGTCATCTTGCTGCAAACCAAAAAAATAAAAAAAAAAAAAAAAAATCAACAAAATCAAAAACATAAATTTCGCACAATATCCAAATCATGTTCAATCAAAACTACTATAATCAACCAAATTCATAAATTAATGTTAAATGAGAGATAAATGAGCTGCTAGATGACAAACCAGGAGGGAGAAACAGAAAGCTAAGCTCGATTACTGAGGAGAGAGAAAGAGTTCGCTAGAAAACTATGATCAACTGCGGAAGAACCGAGGTCAGAAGCCGCTTCCATTAGAGAAGTCACGTAATTCTAGCAGCAAAAGAGGTAAGCTCCATTATTTAGGTGTGAGCTTTGCCCAGAGAAATGTTAAAAGTAGAAAGGAAAGAGAAAATGGAGGTATGACCGTATGAGAGAGGAGAGATGAAGAGACCACAGGAGAGACAAAGGCAGAAGATAGAATTGGTAATAGACTTTTTGGAGGGTTAAAAAAAAAAAAAAAAAAAACAATTTTTGAGGGCAAAAGCAAGGAGAAAATGGTCATTCTTTTAAGGGACTTTTATAAGGGCAAAAGGGGAAGCACACTGTTCAAAAGAATAGGAATGAAGGAACCATTTTGTCACCAATTTGGCTTTTAAGGGTTATAGATGAGTAACAATATTGATATTGAAAGGGCCTCACAGTGATTTAGACACACTCCTGACATCCACAAAGGAGGCAATAGCAAGCTCGTAAGCTCTCCTGATACTCGTGATGTTCTTCTATAAGCTTCTCCAACAACTCTCTAGCAAATCCTGTATCAGATACACCAGAACTCGCTGAAATTAAAACACGCTTAGCCATTATCAAAATTCAAAGTTGTCTGAGTTATGATACGAAATGTTCCTGCAACATATATTAAAAGGACTCACAAATCTAGTGCAAGTGCTTCATATGCTGCTTGAAAGCACTTGAACAGGCTTGTTTAGTCAAAACCAAGAAAGGCTAAAGATTAATATCTAATTACTCGTGATAATCAAAGGCCTGCCATTTTTCAGTGATGAACTAGATACTCAGATGTCTATGAAATCCCTTTCCCTGCATGTGGTTCCCGCAACTTTACAGTTTACAACCTCACATACATTGATGGGAAATTTAGCAGAGGAGAGAAGACATAACATGCATTTCAACTGAATGACACCAGAGTACCACACAGATCAAAATCCCCCATCTCATATAACCATACATTTTTAATCCTCTGGACCAAGAGTCCACAACTACGAACCATTTAAAAAGAAGTCACGGCCACAAAAAGAAGCCACAAACCAAACTCTTTTCAGGTGAACCAGTTATTTATTATATAAAAAAGACGGATCTGTTATTCTTAATAAAGAAAAATCAAATGATTCAGTTATTCCATTCCCTTTCGACACCTAACACAGAACTCACCACAGAATATGTCAATAACCCAACAACACATGATATACTCACAAAGTAGGAACACGATCCAACAGTCATAGATAGAACCTGGTCACAATTCACATAAACTCCATGTGTAGAAATTAAGGAAAAACTTCCAAGTGAGATTCGAGTAAGGATATCGGCAATACAATACAGGAATACCTACATAATTCCAAGTAAATTACTTATAGTCTTCACCCAACTAAGCTTATGAAAGTGAAACAACTAATTCACTGCAAGATGGTAATCAATATGGCTAATCGGCTTTCACCAGAACTAAAGATTTCTGTACACTTAAAATTGTAATGTCTTTGCACATATAATGTTCCCAGATTAATAAAACAAGGATACAAGTATGATAGAAGAGCACAGATCCTAACCAATAACAGAAATCTCCTTAAACACATTAAACCTCAAAAGTCTTCATTCACCCATTTAATTTATAAAAAGCAAATAACAATGTCTAAACAACACCAATTTAGAGGGTGGAAGACAGCCACACGGCGATAGTTTGCACCAAAAGGTCCAGTAATTCAAATTTTAATAAGGCGGCAAAATGTTGGGCAAGATCAAACAATATAAGATGACAAATTACTCCACTAAACATAAATCATGAATACATTGATGGGAAATTTAGGAAAGGAGAGAAGATATAACATGCATTTCAACTGAATGACACCAGAGTACCACACAGATCAAAATCCCCCATCATCATATAACCATAAATTTAAATCCTCCGGACCATGAGTCCACAGCCACAAACCATGTAAAAAGAAGCCACAGCCACAAAAAGAAGCCACAAACCAAACTCTTTTCAAGTGAACCAGTTATTCATTATATAAAGAAGATGGATCTGTTATTCTTAATAAAGAAAAATCACATGATTCGATTATTCCATTCCCTTTCGACACCTAACACAGAACTAAACATAGAATATGTCAATAACCCAACAACACATGATTATAATATACTCACAAAGTATCCTTTGGGATCCAACAGTCATAGATAGAACGCGGTCACAATTTACATAAATCCTTAGTAGAAACTACGGAAAAATTCCAAGTGAGATTCGAGTAAGGATATCAGCAATACAATACAAGAATACCTACATAAACCAAATCTCTTATAGTCGATCTTCACCTATCCAACGAAGCTTATGAAAGTGAAATAACAAATTCCCTGCAAGATGGTAATCAACATGACTAATCGGCTTTCACCAGAACCAAAGATTTCTGTGCACTTAAAAGTGGAATGTCTTTGCACATATAATATTCCTAGCTTAATAGAACAAGGATGCAAGTATGATAGAAGAACACAGATCCTAACCAAAAACAGATATCTCCTTAAAAACATTAAACCTCAAAATTCTTCACCCATTTAATTTATAAAGTAAACAACATCAATTTAGAGAGTGGAGGACAGCCACACGGCGATAATTAGCAACAAAAGGTCCTGTAATATCATTGCAATTTTAAACAATGTAAGATGACAAATTACTCCAATACATTGAATTTAAAATGAACCCAATTAAACAATTTTTAATCACAAGAAAATAACCATTAAACACAAACACATGACAATGCTAAAAAAATTCAAACAACCCTCATTTTCCCATCATCACCTTGGCTTCGACTGATCAAGCGCCGCCTTCGCCTAATTATGGTTAATCACAACCCGAAATCCTCCAACATAACCTCCTCCGTCTTTTTATTTCTACGGGTATAATTTTTGCACAAACTTTGAGCTTCAATGTTTATCTTTGTGCTTCATATTTCCAGTGATATTCTATTGTTTATGCCCTTTTCTGCTTCTTTTCAGATTTCTCTCTCATCATTGAACCTGACCGCCATTGTTACTCCGTTTGCGATATTCTTCGTGTGCAACTCCATTTCTACCTGTTACGTTGACAATTTCTGAGCGTTATTTGCTCTCGATCGAATTTACGTTCGTCGGGTAAACTTTCTTAAAGCGTGTTATTATAGTGATATAATACTTATTTAGTCCATGTATGGTTTGGGTTATTTAAGGGTAGTTTGAATGCTAAGGAATCCTCTTTGGGTCATGAAGGTTTTTATTATATTGTTTTCTTCAATTTTCAGTGAGATGGCGTTGTTGCGTTTGTGGAGTCTTTGTTTACTCGTTTCGGTAGCTGGCCTAGCTGCTATGGACCCGAGGAATGGTACGTTGTACTCTTCATCCTGTTTGTAATGTTTACGGTTATTTATGTATTTCGTAGTGCGTCTGTTGTTACTAGTATAATAAGAACTTGAGAATAACATGTTTTGTGAAGAAAAAGTTATAATCCTAATTATTTACTCACATGTGTTTGTTTGTTATTGGTGCTTATTAAAATAATTTCATGATTTAAATATGTTGATTGAGTCTAGTAAGTAATTAGTAGAGTAGGAAAGGTATAAATCAATTTATAAATAATAATATAAATTACCAATAATTATTATATGGGAAATCCGAAAATGCAAAAAAAAGAATAATAATGAAAGTTGAGGTTAAGGTTTAGTGTATAGTGATAGAATCCTAGCTTAGCATGCCTGACTGCATGAGCATGATCCTTTGGCCTATGATGAGGCTATGAGGTCTCGTGATGCTCCATTTTGGAAGGAAGCTATTAATGATGAGATGGAATCCATCATGGGAAACAATACTTGGGTTTTAGCTACTTTACCACCAAAATGTAAACCAATTGGGTGCAAATGGATCTTCAAAAGAAAATTGAGGATTGATGGAACGGTTGAAAAGTTCAAAGCCCGGTTAGTGGCACAAGGTTTTACACAAAAACCTGGTATCGATTATTTCGATACATATGCACCTGTTGCTAGAATCTCAACTATAAGATTGTTGATAGCACTAGCGGCTATTCACAATCTTGTGATCCATCAAATGGATGTCAAGACAACATTCTTGAATGGAGATCTAGAGGAAGAAGTTTACATGTGACAACCGGAAGGGTTTGTTGTGGAAGGTCAGGAAGAAAAGGTTTGCAAGTTGATTAAGTCTTTGTATGGGCTAAAGCAAGCACCTAAGCAATGACATCAAAATTTTGATGAGGTTGTGTTGTCTAATGGTTTTAAAATGAACAATTCAGATAAGTGTATTTATAGCAAATTTGATGACAATGGTCAAGATGTCATAATTTGTCTATATGTAGATGACATGTTGATCTTTGGAACTGATTTGTCACAAGTTGAAAAGACAAAGTCATTCCTTAGTTCAAAGTTTTCCATGAAAGACATGGGGGAAGCGGATGCCATCTTGGGCATAAAGATAAAGAGGGAAAAAGAAAAGTTGATCTTGTCACAATCTCATTACAATGAGAAAGTGCTCAAGAAATTCAATGTGAGTGAAGACACTACTTCTCTTTATTCAACACCTATGGATCCTAGCATAAAGTTGATACCTAATGAAGGTTATGCGGTTTCACAACTTAAATATGCTAAAGTAATAGGTTGTTTGATGTATGCCATGACAAGTACTAGACCTGATAGCAGTTGGTCAACTAAGAAGGTACACTAGCAAGCCTAGTATGCAACATTGGCAAGCGGTTCGACGCTTGTTGAAGTACTTGAAGAAAACCAAGGAATTTGGTTTGTCTTATAGTGGATATCCTTCGGTTGTAGAAGGGTATTCAGATGCAAGTTGGATCTCTAACAAAGATCATTCCTCCACAAGTGGATGGGTTTTCCGATATGGGGGAGGTGCCATTTCATGGGCTTCAAAGAAACAAACTTGCATTGCGGACTCCACAATGACATCGGAGTTTATTGCTTTGCATTCAGCTGGTAAAGAAGCCGAATGGTTGAAGGATCTCATGTTTGAGACTCCTTTGTTGCCAAAACCGATATCACCAATAGTGATACATTGTGATAATAATGCTACCTTGTCAAGGGCTTATAGCCAAGTTTATAATGGTAAGTCAAGGCACATTGGAGTACGACATATTTACATCCAAGGACTTATTAAGGATAGTGTGATCACTATTGATTATGTTCGAACGGATCTTAATCTCGCCGACTGTTTTACAAAGGCATTGGCTAGAG